AATGTTATGCTAGGATGTGTTGAATGGGTGAGTTCATTGGTATTGTTGTTGTACGATATTGTAGTTGTCAGTGATCTGCTTCTGTCTGGGAAGACTCAATCCAGCTTATTTGCCCAGGTGGAAGTATTAAACCAAAAGAAATCATTTTTCAATCAAATCATTCACTTCTTAAAATAAATTGATTTAGCTTTTAATTTTTGCTTGCAATGGACTCATTGATATTTAACCCTCAACTAACATCACTATAGCTCATTGTCTGGCACTAGTGAGAACTTTCAAACACAAATGGTAACTGTACTTAAAGGAAGTATTTCATTCACAGTAAAGTGCTTTAGGATATCCTGAATTTATGAATGAGGCAATATAAATGTAACCTCTTTCTCTTTCTCATTTTATCTTTTCTTCTGTTTTTATCTGATTCATTCACATCTGCAGAAATGCTTTCCGCATTGTGAAAACAGAAAAACCAGTAGCTTGTATGATAAATGAAGAAAGCAATATTTATATAACTAAATGGAACTATAAACAATAATTCAGGAATCTTTGTGTTGGTAAATGTTGTAGTAAAAATGTAAAGATACTGACCTGAATACATAGAGGAAAACAATTATAAACAGCAAATGCTGGGTAAACACTGTTGAGAGGTTAGCCTTTTGGCATGTAGACTCACTGTAGAACTGTTGGGCTTTGTGAAGAGGCATTTTGAACAGAAATTTAATTCACGTTCACCCAGTGGTTAACTAAAAAGGGAAATGTTTGGCTTTTCTGGTCTTTACATATCAGGGTACAATTCCTGCTGAAATTGGACCAAGTTTACCTTGAAATTAAGTCACATTTGAGATTTGGGCACCTGAAGGGTTAATGAAACAAATGAGAAATGAGTCTGTCTGTATGTTACTAAAGCTATTTGAGTTGATTTATAGAGTGGCATGTGGAAACACAAACTAGCAGCAGTGAGGTACCCCAATTAGATATATGAAAAAGCCGCTCAACATTGAATTTCGGTAACAGGTATATTATGTAAGGGGTACACATTCTTCTCTTTATGTCGGCAATTACTTTTGCATTTTCCATTATTTTATTCATGTGGCAACTATTGTTTCATAATTTTGTCAATGAATAAAGGATGAAACTAGCAACAGTTCAGGTCTGAATGATAATGATTTTATAATCTTGCTGATCAGTAAATTGAGAGACAAGAGTTGATTTCTTAACAATAGTTCTTAAGTAACAAGTATTCTTTAACTATTTTGGGAAGGGTGAGAGAGAGAGGAAAAGATGTTTGATGGATTAAGAATGCCAATGAAAATAGACAGCTTTCATTTCACCTTCTAGTTCATTGATGCAAAGCAAGTCCTTTGCCCAAGTAAAAAATTATTTCAAAATGTTGCATTAAATAACTCGAATAAAATCAATTCACTGTCCAGTTGAAAGTGGAAGAATTTTTTGAAATTTAGTTGTTACCTTTTGATTATACATTTATCCTGGAAAGAATCCTAATTGCTTATTTTTGTGTTGCAAACATTTCAAGTTCTGAGGGTTTTTTGTCAAGTTAGCTACACTTCATATTTGTTCTACTCTTAGTTATCACTTTGGTTTGTCATCGCCATGAATGGTGGCCAGGGATTTATTCTAACTGTGTGCATAGCAATCATTCTCGAGGAAACACTTTTCACTGTGGCTGCACTGTTATTTAACACACCACTGACTGCCTGTTTTTGTCTGCCCACCAATTTGCATTCTTTGATGGATTGCAAGGGTCTCGAGGTGCACTTCCAGGGAAGCACTGAAGTGCCATCTCGAGGAACTCTTAAAAGAGAAGCAACAGCAATACAAGTATTTGTCCAAACTCGTTGAGTCCACTAAGGCATTCTCTGAGACTGTGCAAAGATCAATATTGCAGTTTGCTGATGGGCTTTGTACATGCATTCACAGTTTAGATCTTTTAACAATATTAGCTTACATCTCATTGAGGGATGTGTATGATGTAGTTAGCTCCAAGAAAAAAGATCAGGACTTCCTTGAAAACTCAAACTGCTAACCCCCTCCTATCCTCTCCCCTGTCCTAAACACAATACTAGAGCGTTCAGGGAGGGAGCTACACGAGTCCTTTTGTTTATTTAGATTCACATAGACCTGCTTTGTGGCTGTTTCTCATTCTGATTATATCTTGGCAGAGATTAGCAAACACTCCGGTGGCAGTTCAGTTCTCTGATTTAGAAATGAACTGGGGAGGGTTAGAGGAAAGTGAAGCCTTTTTTTTGGAGAAGCAAAAGGGTTTTTCTGCTTAGCATGACCAGTTCAAATTGAGCTCCCTGAACACAATTTGCGCAAGAGTTTTTGTTTCCTTTTGGAGGGAACATTTTAGGAATTCCTAGGCGATCTTTCCATTGGAGATGGGACGAGAACAAGTGATTTTTCTTCACGCTTGAGTTCTCCTATTGGGAATTTGGGTATTGTGCGTGTAAAAGCGAAGAGCAGTAAAAGAGAGAGGTGGGTTGGAAATTAGAGTGAGAGTTGGCTGTGGAGCAAGTTGCGCGTTGCCTGAGTGTTACAGATTTGCTGCCAGGAGAGAGAGAGAGAGAGAAATAATAGAAAGTTCAGAAAACCGAGCTTTCATTTCAAAACGTGCCACAACCGAGCACAACAGAGAGGACCAGTGGCATTTGTCAAAAAAAAGTTTCCCTTGTAATTGATGCCATTGTTGACCCCCCTGTGTTTTTCCAAAGAAAATTGTTTTTTTTGTAAAGTTATTTATTCTGCATAAACTGAAGCAATAAAGGCTTCTCTTTCAGCGGGAGTAATTGTGAGGAGCTGATAAGGAGTTTGATTTTAATGATTAGCTACCTGACCCTCTGCTCCTCCGAAACCTTTAACTGGAGAATAACTCGCCTTTTTTTTTCACTGAGGGCATGGGGCTGAATGTTAATCACTCGGAGGAGGAGGAAAAGAAAGCTTCATATTGAAATGGCCTCATTGTTCCGGGGGAGCATTTGAAAAGCTGACCGACCATTCAAGGCTTTGTGCCGGTTTGGGGCAGAATAGTGCACAGAAATTCCTTCACTGTCTCCCAGTCTAAATTCATGGTGAAAATCATCCCAGTGAGTACTGAACTCATTCTCATCACCCATTTCATAAATCGTAAAGTCATTTTAGTATTTTTAAAACAAAGAACGAAAATTGCAGTTGCGTGCTACATTTCAGTGGATTTCCTCTCTTCCAATTTGTTTTAACAACGAGACGCATGAAAGTCTCATTGCAAAAGGTTAAATAATTGTTTGAGTCTGGAGTAGAGTGGGAGGGGGGGGAGGTGGTTTAAAAAGTGGAGTACAGACTTTAGATTAACAGCTCCCTTTGTGCCAGGTTTGGAGAGATTTCACTGCCTGAGGCCAGTAAAGTGTTTGAAAGTTTAGATGCAAAAATGTTGAGGTGCCCATGATCTCTATAAGACTACCTTTTTTTGGTGGCATTTAGATTTGGTGTAGTGTTTAATTTTTATTTCCCTTCTCTGTCCTGAATTGTGATATATCTCTGTTCGACCTCTAATACCCACAGGGAACTTATAATAACGGAAAATGTAGAACAACCCTGACAGAATAGATCAATGGCAGAACACGCTTGTAGCATTCATGTTCCAGCTCACTGCGATAGGCAGGCTGGTTTGTGCATCTCTCAGGCACTGCAGTAAGTCGCTGGGTTTCCTTTTAAAGAAGAGACTTTGATAGTTCTCCGAGCCGAGTGGTGTCCACCAGGACAACTTGGACATTTTTCTTTCTCTGCTAAGGTAAACTTGAATTCTGTTTGAGATGTAACAGTCTTGCTGCGATTGCTGGCGTGGGGCACCGCTGGATTATTTCGGCGCTGCGTGTTGGCTCGTCTTTAACTTTTGTCGATTGTATTGAAGCGTCTGAGGAAGTATAAATTTTATAGATGGTACTGGATTCACTCCCGGCTTCCTGAAGAAAATTACCTTTTTTTAAATTTCATTGAAGTTTTTCCTCCTTTCCATCACTTTTTTATTTAGTCTCTCTGGTCAGAAAGGTACTGCCCTGATCCCAGGTCTTTATTTGACAGTTTCCAGATCCTAAATCTCTTTGACAGAGAGATGATTCCTGATCTTAATTAGACAGTCTGATCCCGGATTTCTATTGGATAGGGTGCTGCTCCCAGATCTTTATTGGACAATTTCCTTGAGCCCGATCCCGGATTTCTATCTGACAGGGTATTGCTCCCGGATCTTTATTGGACAATTTCCTGACGCTGATCCCGGATTTCTATCGGACAGGGTCCTGATCCCGGATCTCAGTTGGACATTTTCTGATCGCAGGTCTCAATTAAACAGGGTCTTTCCTGAGGCACTCTGCTTGCAGACCTATATAATCTGCTTTGAATTTATTTTTAGCTTAATAGACCAGTGATTGTGCTTTTGTGGATACTCACAGATTGTATTTGGAAAATTGTTGATGATCCCTCTGAATTTCTCAGTTTATAGTCTTACAATGTAAAGAGAGGTTATTGAAACTGGATCAGTTTTGGCTTATTTATAAACTCTTGGGAGCTAGTACAGGAATGATGAACTGAATGGCCTCCTTCTGCAGTGTAAAATTCTATGACTCTATCAAAGGTGAAGAGAACAATCTTCATTGCAGATGTATAGAAAGGTGTAGAATATGAGCATCATTGTATGATTCTACACTTTGAATACACAATGCTAAAATCTCTATGTTGCAAATTTGGCCAGTTTTCATTGCATTACAAGAGCGATGTTTCGTATCAGTTCTTCAAATAAGAAGGTGAATAGGAATCAGAAAGGCTCAGGAGGAAAATGGGTGTGGGAAAAGCACTGAGATTATTTTTCTAAAATAAAGGAAGCAACGATAGATTTATAATAAGAATAATATGAGATGTTTTCTTGGGAAAAAGGGGACATTGCTTAAGTTTTAACATGGGCATATTAATAACAGGTAAAAGTGTTTGTTATTTCTCCTTCCTCCACACAGAAGTCGAAAGCCCCTGGCCTGACTATGTAAGAGAGCGCAGGAATGCAATCTCAATGCGGCCACACGGGACAGGGCTGTCCTATTGCAAGATAACTGAAGAGCCGTGCAGCTCCAGTGAAGACTCTAGCTCTTCCTCAAAAACCAAGAACTCTCTGGGCTCACTGCCAGACTTAGCCGAGCAGCATACTCCCTACCGGGCAGTCTGTTTGTCAGTGGACCCCCGAAATGGCTACATGGACCAACGCTATTGTATGTATCCACACATCTGCTACTCATTTCTGTTTTACACGGAAAGTGCCCTTCAGAGGAGGGATAGTTCCACCAGATCATGTAAAATAGTAAATGAGTCAGAAAAGTCACATTTTTTGAGACCTGGAGCGTCACTTATGTTTGTTTGGTCCATCACTGCCTTTGTCATTGTAATATCGAAGTTTTTTTTAAAAATATCTATTTGACCACTTATGTGATGAAATCATACACATTAAAAAGTGACTCCATCATTCCATGTGAAACATCTGCATGCTACCAGTGTCTGCTTTGTGTTGGAAAATGGCATGTTTCTATCGGTACAGGTCAGCAGATACCTTTGACGGCATATTCTTCAATTTTAGGTGTAATTTATTACAGGATGGTTAGAGGTCAAAGGTATCTTAACCCAGAGCAAGGGCAAGATGTGCAGCGTCCATGAGAACTTTTAAGTGATGTCTTGGAAGATACTGGATAAGTAAAGCCAATTACTTTGTTACCCCATTGACACGTCAAGAGAAATTAATAGGCATTGTGTTTGTCTTCGACTGGAAAATGAACTTGCATTTTAAATTGTTAATAAGAAGGAAGCAAGAAAAAGTACTAATTTTAATTTGAAGTCAGTAATCACAGCCAGGAATCACAGCACATTAGCTGCTGTGGTAGATGCAGTGTTTCAGGTAAGCTGAATGAGAAATAGTTTCTCAAGTCATGAAGCATAGAATCATTTGGGAATGGAGAGCTGGAAGATTAATAGAATTTCATTCACAAGCCAGTTGTTTTTATCTTAGTATTTTAGAAATATTTACATGTTACTCGTAAAAAAATACAATTATCATTGGACTTTATAAAAGCATGATGTGTTTCACTAAATAGCAGAATTAACTACACATTGTGCCTATCCTGATTACAAGTACAGTCAGGTAATTCTGTCCTTCTGACATTCCCAGTTAAGGAAGGTAAATTAGAGTGAGTTTCTGTGAGTTCAAGTAAGCATTATTTTTTCTATGAGGTTCCAAGGGACTAATTGCAGTTTAGTCTCTCAAGACTTCCAAAGGAAAATGTACCATTCAATTACTTTCCATACAACGAGAACAATTAGGTCACTTGTTGGATTTCATAAGATCCAGTTTGGCAATACTTCCTTTACAATTCCCAAAAGACCCAATGAGACATTTATGTAAGTTATCAATAAAAATAAGTGTCATTAACTTTCTTCTCATCGAAGTTCCCAAAATAGCACTTGCAGTAAACTCTTCCATCAAGTCACAAAATGTCCCAGACAGTAACTATTAGGTAACTTGCTAGTTTCAATTTAGTGGGATAGCTCTTGTGAAGCACTGTTTCTTTCTAGCTCCAGTCAAAATATGTTAGATGTAAATAAATATTGCATAATATTCTCCCAGTTGCAAATTCTACTTGTGGAACGTGAATGAAAGTCCTTTCTTGTTTCAGTTTTAAAACAAAAATGCAAGCCATCAGAATTTGACTTGTTACTCATGCCTTCTGGTTCTAAATTGTGCATGACGTTTTTTTTAAATCTCCTCTGCCAGAACCTGAGTACGAAAGATCAAGCATGCTGTTTGTTTTCCAGTTTCCAACAGAATGGATCTTTTGCCCCAGTTTAGAAAAATGAGCATCACTATTTCAGAGGCTTAGAGTTCAATGATGAGTAACTCACCCCTTGACTTATCAAAGCCTGCCTACTTTTTACAAGGCACAGGTCAGGAGGGTAATGGAATACTCCTCATTGCCTGAATGAATGCAGCTCCAATAGCACTTGAGAGACTCAGAGGCATCAAGGGAATAGCAGCCTGTCCAACTCCTTTAACTACAAATGCCCTGCAATGCCAGCATCTAGTGGTGGCAATGTGTACCACCTACAAGATGGACTGCAGCAATTTGTCAGTCCTCCCTTGAAAGTACCTTCCAAACTTGTGCTTTCCACCATCTGGAAAGACAAGGGCAGCAAATGCATGAGATAATCACCATTCGCAGGTCCTCCTCCAAATCACACACCATCCTGATTTGGAACGATATTGCTATATTCCTTCACTGCCACTGGGTCAACATTTTGGCAGCCCCTTCCTAACATCATTGTGGGTGAACCAACAGCATGTAGACAGTGGCAGTTCAAGAAGGCGGTTCGCCACCACCTTCTGAAGGGCACAATGGATGGGCAATGACTGCTGGCCCAGCCAATTACACCCACATCCTGTGAAAAAGTACTAAAAATTGTTTGATAATGTGAGTGTAGATGGTGAATCACACCTAAAGGGAAAAAACGAATCACGCAGAAATCATCACTAGTGGTCAATACACTGATGTACGTTAATGTACCAAGAAGACTGGCTAAAGGTGAGAAGGTACATTAAACCAAAAGATGATGGTGAGAAGAAAACTGTCAAGTCCGAATTCAGCAACTGCAAAGAAATGCACAGGGAGAAGAGACTTATGTAAGAAGAAAACAGCTGGAACCAACTTCACATTTTTTTTAGAGATAGTAGGAACTGCAGATGCTGGAGAATCCGAGACAACAAGGTGCAGGGCTGGATGAACACAGCAGGCCAAGCAGCATCATAGGAGCAGAAAGGCTGACGTTTCGGGCCTAGACCCTTCATCAGAAAAGGGGGAGGGGAAAGGGGTTCTGAAATAAATAGGGAGAGAGTGGGAGACGGATAGAAGATGGATAGAGGAGAAGATAGGTGGAGAGGAAACAGACAGGTCAAAGAGGCGGGGATGGAGCCAGTAAAGGTGAGTGTAGGTGGGGAGGTAGGGAGGGGATAGGTCAGTCCAGGGAGGACGGACAGGTCAAGGGGGCGGGATGAGGTTAGTCGGTAGCATCCCAAAACCAGTCCAGCTCGTCCCCGCCTCCCTAACCTGTTCTTCCTCCCACCTATCCCCTCCTCCCACCTCAAGCCGCACCCCCATCTCCTACCGACTAACCTCATCCCGCCCCCTTGACCTGTCCGTCCTCCCTGGACTGACCTATCCCCTCCCTAACTCCCCACCTACACTCACCTTTACTGGCTCCATCCCCGCCTCTTTGACCTGTCTGTTTCCTCTCCACCTATCTTCTCCTCTATCCATCTTCTATCCGTCTCCCACTCTCTCCCTATTTATTTCAGAACCCCTTTCCCCTCCCCCTTTTCTGATGAAGGGTCTAGGCCCGAAACGTCAGCCTTTCTGCTCCTATGATGCTGCTTGGCCTGCTGTGTTCATCCAGCCCTGCACCTTGTTGTCTCACATTTTTTTTAAGTCCCTGTTTTTGGAGACAATCGGGGACAAATATTTAGTGGATTGAATCTTCATTGCGATTCTTATAATCACAGGCTGAGGACTGATTGGGCATGTGGAATTCAGTCCTTGTCTCTGATTTGGTGTTTAATATCTACTATGAAAGTATTGGTTGCTCCAGGAGGAGTATTGCTCTTGAATGATGTGTACAATTTGCCAGATCACCACAGCAGCGAATTTAGGGTCTGACAGCCCATTTATGAAGGAGCAATGCTTAAAATACATTATTGAAGTTGCTTTTTTTTTTAGGTATAGCATTTTAAATATAACGTGGTTTTCTTTTTCCTCTGTAATATAAATCACCAATGTGTGTAGTTTATTTTCCAATTGCAAACAGCAGGAGATTGAGAGGGCAATAATCACAGGAGGAGACTGATTACTGTGCTGTGCAGTATTTCAGAAATGATTCCTATGGTTTCATCTACAAAAGTAATTAAAATAGAAGCAAATAGTGGCTGGGGTTTGGGGGCAGGGGGGTTGAGGAGGAGATGGTGGCATAGTATAATGTTGCTAGACTAGTAATCCAGAGCCCAAGGCTAATGTTCTGGGATATGAGTTCAAATCCCACCATGGTAGATGGTGAAACTTGGACTTAATAAAATCTGGAATTTAAAGCTAACTTAATATTAACCACATAACCACTGTTGATTATCCATCTGGCTCCCAAATGCCCTTTAGAGAAGGAAACTGCCATCCTTACCTGTTCTAGCCTGCAAATGACTCCAGTATTACAACAATGTGGTTAACTTTTGAAGAGTGCCAGTCAGCTTCAGGGCACTTAGGCAACAAATGCTGGCCTTACCATTGACACCTATATCCCATGCACAGATTTTTCAAAGCTGTAAAAATTGGGCACCTTGACACTGGTATGGATCCCAGCTTGGGAAATACATTTGCCCAAAATTCCTCACCCTGAAAATTTAGCAGCAGTGTTAAGTAATTTAATAAACTTGTTGTTTGATAATTTGCACTAAACAATAGTACATAAGAAATAGATGTAGGCCATTTTGTCCTTCAAGCCTGCTTCACCATTCAGTAAGGTCATGACTGATCATTCTACTTCATCCCTATATAATCTCCTGACGTCCCTTAATAACCTTAACTATCCCAAAATCTATTGACCTTGTTCTTGAACATACTCAAAGGCTTGCAGCCCTCCTAAGTGCAGAATTCCAAAGATCCATAACCCTTTGAGTGAAGAAATTTCTCCTCATCTCAATCCTACTTAACTGACCCATTTATTCTGTCACCATGACAGTGTGCTTTAGGTTCCTTAACCAAAGGGAAACATCTTCTCAGCATCTTCTCTGTCAAGCCACTTAAGAATTTCATGTTTCAATTAGAACAATGCTCATTCTTCGGAACCCCTTTAACTATGGATGTATAATTGACCATCTCTCCACATAGGAATAACCCCTCTTTCTGTGAACAGTCTAAACATCACAGAGCGGGAATAGACAAAAATAGAAATTGCTGGAAAAGCTCAGCAGATCTGGCAGCACCTGTGGAGAGAAATCAGAGTTAACGTTTTGGGTCAAGTGATCTTTCCTCAGAGGAAATAGTTATATGCCAATACCCACTGCATCACGTCAGGCTCAGTTCCTTAGCTGACAAGGTCCAGAGACCATGTCTACATCCTTCTCTCTCAAAACATGATCAGCAGTGCGTCTGTGACCAACTTCATGTTCTGATTGTTTTCCCTCCAC